GTAGCGTACAATGTTTGTCATTCTTTATTAAGTGTCTTAGAGAAGTTTGAGATGAGAAGAGAAAACACAAGCAAACACTAAAGGGAATTTGAAAACCCTAATGTTATCATACAAAATGGTCCTAAGGTTAGGATGAAAAGGAAGTCTACCTAATGTTATCATACATATGATGGACCTAGAGTTGAGGTCAAGAAGGGACTATCCTAACTGTTATCATGCAAAGGATTGAAAGCCTAATGTCTCTCCTACTCCCCCCTTAAACAGAGGGACTAGGAATCATAAAGGATCATGTGAGCAAGCACAAGTAAACAATATTCAATTCAATCACAAATGAAAATAAGGATAAAAGAAGTCTAAAAAAGAGAGAAGAAGAAAGATGAAGAAGAAAAATGCACAAGGAATAACAAAATGTATATGCAAACAGAAGAACAAACAAATCAAGACCAAAGCCTCAAACACAAAAGGTCAAACCCAAACAAGATGGACAAACACCTCAAGTCAACATATCATTGGTGCATCTCACTTCCAACCCGCATCCAAGATGTGCAGACAAACACAAGGGTAAAGCAAACCAACTCCATCAGTCAAATGGAACAAAAACCTCACAAGGAATCAAAACAAAACATGAAGCCAAACAATATGAAACCAGATGACCCAAGAAGCAAGATGGGGCAACAACATAACATGATCAATAGGTTGGCATCCAATCATGAAGATGTGAGAGGGATCACATAAGTTTGAAATTCAAAGTCAAATTTCAAAGTGAATCAACCATCATCAACATCCACAAATGAGATATCACACCAAAGCAAACATCAAAGATCCAAATGGAATGAGGAGAATTCAGAAAATCACCTCATAATGGATCAAAATCATTTGTTCACCCAATAGCAATTTAAATCCAAATAAAAACAAATAAAAAACCCTAAAAGAGAGAAAGAGGAGACCAAGGCATGAGTAAAGACTCAAGGACATCACCATAGGTCTAGGACCATCATAGGATCACATGAAAATTTCTCCATCATTTTTAAATGTCCAAAAATAATTTCAAACTAATTAAAAACAAGCAAGTAAATCAAAAATACATGAAAATATCCAAAACAGAAAACAAAAATCTAAGAAAATCACCATAGGTTCAAAACCATCATAGGATCATATAAAAAAATTCATAATTTTAAATGGCTCAAAAGTATTTTTAAACCAATTAAAGTTAGCCAAAACAAATAAAAATCATGAAAAATACAAAAATGCAAAATAAAAATGCACAAAAATATAAATCAGAAAGAGAAAAATAAAAGAGAATTTTAAAAAATATTTTGGTATTTTTCTGATTAAAAATGAATTTTCTATGAATTTCTGAAAATAAAAAGGAATTAAAAACAATTTAGAAAAAGAAAATAAAACAGAAAAAACACAGCGCGTTGGATTTCATTTCATTAAATGACGTGGTTGATCTAAGGATCAGAGAGCGCGCATCCACGATATGAACACTAGTCAGCTCACCCACATAGATCAAAAGAAAGTCAAAAGCACCAGATTAGAACAAGTGGCATGATGGACGGTGAGATCATCATCTTCAACCTCCAGCCACTTGAAATAACCAGAGATTTGCAGAAAATCATGCATCTCTCAAACTATAATCAATGGAGCTCATAATGGTTTCATTTGATGCGTCTTTTCAAGACGATCTCAACCATATCATCGCGCCAAATTTCTTTAAACCACAACTTACTCGATTTGAAAAAAACCAAAACAAGATTCAAACACGAATTTAAAAATTCAGCAACAAAACTCAACTACAACTAAAAACTAACTATACAAACAGCATCAGCATGTCAATGGCTACATTTTAGCAACAAATTTGGATCAAAATGGTTGAGAATTATACCTGTTGAAGCTCAACCTTGAAGCTCTAAATATGGAGTTCCCTAGCTTGACTCAAGCCACGATTCTTTAAGTTCTTGATCTGGTTAGCTTCACTAAATGTTGGTGAAGTTAACTGAGTGGAGAATTTGAGTGTTTAAGGTGTGGAAATGGAAATTCGAAGTTCAAGCTTAAGAGTTCAAATGTGATCTTATCAGAGTGGTTTTGGCTATCAAAAGCTTGTGGAAATTGGTGGAAATCACTCCCTATTTATAGCAGAAGCTTTTTGAATCAAATGGGAGGGTGAATGAGGCAGTTTGGATGGAAATCGTGCACACCTGCAGCATGAGCAAAGTGTGACTTGCAATATGTCAAAACTCACTCAAATCATGCGTTTCAAGGTGTTAATCACTTCAGTCAAGTTGGTTAAACATGTTTAAGTGAAATTCGTGCATTAATTTGGCGATTAGAAGCCATTTCAATCAATTTCAAATCTGACTTGGAGTGAAAATCCATCTTTGAAATCCAATTTTTGCAGCCATGGTTCTCACAATGTAGGAAGCTTTATGAGATGATTCTTCTTGCATTAGATTGAGGGAGATGCAATCTTTGCAATGTGAAAATAAAGTATTGATTTGGAAGCTTGAATTGAAAGATATGATCTTTCAAAGTAACCTCCATGAAAGAGTGCAAGATCATAAAACACTTAGAAAAATTTCAAGTCTTTTTAAGGACCAAAAATGACCTATAATGTTTTGATGAAAATCAAGACCTTCCATGGGTTTTTAGCTCTTCCATGTTGAATCAAAGTTGTAAAGGACATCTTCAAGTTTATTCTAGAAAATGAATGGGCTCCAAATGATAAAAATTGACCAAGTTATGTCTTTTTGAAGTTGACTAAGAAAACCTTCCAAAACTCAAAATGACCTATAATGTCTTCCCACCTTTGATGACCTTCTAAGCATAATTTGATCTTTCCTTGCAAAGAGAACTTGTTAGGGATGATGAGAAGAGTTCATTAAAAAAAAAACCACCTCAAGATGTTGAAAATTGAAGGAGTTATGCTCATTTGATCATAACATCCACCATTTGTCCAAATTAGGTCAAGTATCTCAAAATAACTTTGAATCTCTTGATGATTTCTTGCACCTTAGGCCATAATGAACCATATATGATATTAAAATGATGTTGCCTTGAACTATATTTTATGATGAGGAACTTCTAGGGTTAAGAATACCACAAAGTCACAGAGAACATCTTGCTTGAACTTGAAGAACACAACCTTCTTCTTTAAGAAACAAATCATGATACCTTGATTCTCTGCCAAGAACAAATGCTATGCAAATATGAATATGATAATGCAAAGAAACATAAGCCAAGGACACAAGAAAAGATGAGCAAAATTTGGGGTGCTACACACCTGAGAAAATCCCCATAGCTTGGCGTAGAGTTCTGAAGAGAAGGTGAAGTCTGCAGAGTGTCTGGGTGATCTATTTGAGCTGCATTTACCTGGCGTGGAGGTCTGCTATGAAACTTTCAACAACGGTCAATAGTATGTCGAAGTCGGTTTATAACGGTCACACTTGGGACGAGGATTGGAGTTGGATGACCCTCCTCGAAAGCAATTCTGATATTTTTCCAAGAGATGCAAAGGCAGCAGTGTCACCTGGTGTCGGAGTAGCAATATATGGAGGGAAACCGGGCCAAAAACATATGATGTAGCCAAGCACAACCGTTTTTCACTAGCTACATCATAGTTATGAACAATAGTACCTAATAAAACATGGTTATGAACGGACTCAAGCACTGATGGTAGTCTGATAAGTGTCATGATCATGAAAAATTTACTTTGTTGTTCGGCATAAGTTGTTGAATCTTTTGTGTAAAGCATGAGGGTGGTGTAATTTGCTTTCAAGACATTAAGCTTACTCAGACAGACTTCCATATCCATATTATCCACCTTCAGAGTGTTGATTTTGTAGATGACACAATATAGACAATGAACATCATTGAAGAAGACTTTCTTGATCTTTTCCCAAGCCTCATAGCAAGTGGAGAAGGTTTGGTGTTGTGCTTGGATATTATATGCTATGGAAAACTATAGCACAATACATAACGATGCATTCGTTTTCTTCCATTTTGACAGCACCAGCCCATATGTTGTAGTTGGATGAGTCGTTTAGTTTTTCACATAGGATAAGTGAAACTTTGTTAAACGAATCATTGAAACTAGAATAAGTGGAACTTTGTAAAAAATGATTTATATAAGAAAAAATATAGATCGTGGTATTAATTACATAGATATCATATTTTATTGAAAATGTTCTAGAGAATATTCTCTTCATATACATACATAAATATTAACAGGGTGCATTAACAAATTCTCGTAGAAAGAATGCCATGTATTTGTAAATGAAAAGGAATCTTTGTAAATGAAATGGAATTTGTGGACTCGTTTGAAAACTTATTAATGGGTTTATTAATCTGAATATGACTTTTTACAATTGCAAATGTGAAGGAATTTAAAGAGGTTTAAAATCTCTAGAATCTATTGTGTTTTTTTAACAGTGACGTGACAGGTCAATTTGTTAAATTAATCAGACGGCAAAAAACAAAAGTTTTCACATAAATTTTTAAGACAATTTTTTAAAGAAATTCTTTTGAAGGACTAATGACAAAATTCACAATACTAAAATAATCACAAACATATTTAACTTTAATTATGCTAGTTGAATATAACTTTAATTATGCTAGTTGAATATAAGTGCGGTGAATTATTATGTTATACTGATACAAACATAGGACATGATATCAACTATTACAAGTCAACATAAATAATAATTTTAAAAACTAAATAAATTAAACGTAATAACAAATGTGGGTGTCTGTCACGTCGGTGTCCCACAATCGGTAACACTCCCAGTTGTGTGTAAACTCTACCATATATGCAAGTTTTGAAAGGTAATAACTGGCAAAATATATAGTGATTTTGAATTGTATATAAGACAATAAGCAACGAGTATTTCTAAGGTAATAACGGCAAAAAATTGCTGTGCGAGACAAAAATACAAATTCAAGAAAATAATATGCAATCTAAATCTGCAACAGTTCATGAGATATACCGATGATGTTGTACTTCAAGTCATCAAAATGTAATCGATCTTCACGGATTGAATGTGAGAAATCTTCCCCCAATCTTCACCATTAGGTTTCATGCATTGCTGTTTGAGCAAGAAACAATTCGTAATTTGTAGGGTTGAAATGGATTTAGGCAGACCCTCCACTGGTAAACATTGAAGATTGTGGCAGTCAGCAAGATGCAGTTCTTCAAGAGAGGAGGGGTGGCAGAGACCTCTGTAGTCCAGTTTTTTAAGATTCACACAATCAGAGATATACAAAGAAGTAAGAGAGAGGGGAAGAAACCCTTGATCGGGAAAAGACACCAAGTCTACTTTTCCAATATGCAGATAAATTAGAGAAGTGTTGATTCCCAAAGCCCGTTTCAATGAGGTGACGAGAAGTTTAGAACAAGTGTTCAGATGCAAGTACTCTAGGCTTGATGGCAAACCTCCATCAGGAAATGACTCTAATTGTGAACACTTTTCTATAGTTAGGTTAGTAAGAGATGGAAAGAGAGTGTTCATGCATTCAGGCAATGATTTTAAATTCTCCAATTCGCAAATTTCAAAATACTTAAGATTGGGCGCAAAGAATCCCCCTTTGGGAAACGATACAAATTTAGGACAATCAAAAATCTCCAGTCGTGAAAGTCTATGATCACACTCCTGTAAAATCATTTCAAGACTACTACAGTTTACAATTGAGAGTGACTGTAGTTCTGGGAAAAAATCCAACGGAAAGGTCCTTAGAGAGTCACAGCTACCGTCTATACCCAAATATCGAAGGAAATTATAGCAACAACCTAGGGGAATAGTCAGAGTTGGGAAATCTGTAATTTCGAGTGATACGAGAGGGGCATGAGATAAGGTATGTCCAATCCATTCAGGCAACATTTCTCCCATGCAATTGCCACCAATCTTGAGAATTTGCAAAGCAGCTGGATGATAATCAAGTTGCAGCTTTCCACAATTAAATAGCTCTAACTTATGAATGGCTGGAGCAAATGAAACAGAAGTCACAAGCCGCTGGCAATAAGAAATTTCAAGCTTCATTAAACAGGGAAGTTGCACAGGCAAACACTCTTTTAGATTCGGACAGTTTTGAATTGAAAGTTTTTGGAGACATGGAAAAGCACCCGACACAGTTTTACAATCCCATTTTTCCCATCCCTTCATATCTTTAAAACTTAAGGTTAGCAAGGATACAAATGGAATAATATCAAAAGAGCTACTCCCATTTCCATAAAACGCACTACCAATAACCACTATCCCAGATAGCCCTGTGATCCACAGTTTCTTGAGAGATGGCAAAATTCCAAGTGGAGGTAATAACACAATATTTTCACAATTACTCAACTTTAAGGACACTACATTAAAAAATGAATTACTATTTCCAAACCATTCTGGAAAACGTGTACCACCATAGCTATTGATTGACAACTCTCTCAATTTTTTGAAAGCTTGTAGTTTCTCAAACAATTCTCTTTCTTTCTCTGAATCATCCCTCTTTGCATTCCATTCTAACTCTAGCTTCACAAAGTGTATTTTATTTTTAAAATTTGCTGCCTTGGAATGGGAAGGATTTATAATGTTTTGAAGATTTGAAATTGAAAATTTTTCATGAAGATTGAGTTCTCCTAACTGCTTGATATTGGCCTCGCTACCTTTTTCCACATAAAACGAACTTAGTACATGAAGATTCTTTAGTTTCTCCATATCCCTTGGCATTTTTCTCACTATAGTTCCACTAAAATCAAGATACTGCAAATTAGTGAGTTTGTGTAAATTCAAGGGCAACTCTTTTAAACACCAACAATTTCTCAACTTCAGTATTTGCAAATTATAGAGAGAGCACACTGAATCAGGTAGCTTTTCTATGAAAGTAAAAGAAAGGTCTAGATAACGGAGATGCTTGAGATTCCCTATGGAGTCAGGCAACTCATTCTCAAAAGAGCATCCAGACAACGACAATACACGGAAGAATTTAAACTTTGAGAATAACTCCTGCATTAATGTGCTGGACATCCGGTAGTTTGATGAAGTATCGCAGGTACTTAATGGTAGATAAGTGCGTAATCTATTAGCATTGGGTAATGTCTCAAATACTTTGGATGGTTTAAATGTATTTCTTAAAATATGCGATTCTTCATCATTAAATGTGAAGTAAAAATCCCCACATGCATATTTTGTCAAATCATTGAGAAGGTCATGCATTATAAAATCCATCTCATATTGCCTTGATATCTGAAAAAATGACCTCCAAAATAGTTCATTGAAGTACTGTTCACCAACTTCTTCCATACTCATATTCTGATGAGGGCATTGAAGAAAATTCTCAGCCATCCAAAATAAAACTAAATGCACATTTTCAAATACAAATTTTTTTGGAAATAAGGCACAAAAAGCAAAACATCTCTTGAGATGAGAAGGAAGGTGATGATAACTCAATATGAATGCAGGAATGATGTTGCTCTCCTCTTCTCGTAAGTCCCATATCTTGCTAGCCAATATACCTTCCCATTCCAGCAAAGATGATTTTCTGTACAAGAGACTTCCAATTGTTTTCAAGGATAGAGGTAATCCTTGGCATTTTTCAATTATCTCTTTAGCAATTTCCTTAAAGTCAGAATCTATGAGAGGATTATCATCAAGAAATGCGTGTTTGGAAAATAACTTCCAACAATGTTCTTTTTTTAATTGCTCTAGCTGATGTATTCTACTTGACCGGGTGGTTGAGGCAACTTTGAGACTACGGGTAGTCACAAGAATTTTGCTTCCTTGAGCCCCAAAATTAAAAGGAATCTGTAAAGCTTCCCATTGGTCACGTCTTTCGTTCCAAAGGTCATCCAAAACAAGAAGAAATCTTTTCGCAGTCAATTTTTCCTTCAACCTTTCTTGGACCATATTTAGGTCTCTACTATCATCCATTGATCCAGTGATACCCTCAAGAATAGCTCTCGTTACCTTGAAAACATCAAATTCTTCTGACACACATGTCCAAGCTTTGACATCAAATTTTCCTTCCATCTCTGGATCGTTGTATAAGTATTGAGCAATCATGGTCTTACCCATCCCACCCATGCCAACTATAGAAACAACTGACAGTTGATAGTTATCAATCTCAACGTCAGATGTCAGCCAATTACAGATAGTCTCCTTGTCAACATCTCTGCCATAAATATGAGAATCAACCAGCAAAGATGTTGATGGCAATTTTCGCAACACATGACTATCCGATACAACACTAAAACTACTACTAGTACCAGTCTTTTTCAAACCAAGTATATCCGTTTTGCTAGCAAGATAGTCTATGTTGTTGAATATTTCTTGCAACCTATATTCAAATTCTTTGTCAAACGAACTGGAAGAAGCATTAAAGAAGTTCCATACCTTGCTAGTACGAGACGGTGGTTCCGCTTCCAGCTTACATCTAGAAACTTCGATGTCAATTTCATCCAAGATATCCTCTGCTTCAAACACAGCATCTTTGACAGCATCAAGCCATGTTTTCACGTGTCGATCTTTTATCTGTTTTTGTTCTGCATCATCGACCACAGCATTGATGGACAGTAGTGTGATATTGAGCCTCTTCAATAGCTTTCCGTTGAGTTTTCTTCCTTGAAAGTAGGCTTCAATTTCAGAAGCTAGCTTTTCGAATGTGACCTGAAGGAAAGCAGAAAGAAGAGCACTACCAACCAATTTGACCGCCATAGAACGTAACGAAAGGAGAAACAAAAAAAATCAAGAAAGGATTGCAAATGCAAATTGCAAATGACTCAATATAATGGATGGTTTAAGCAAATGTAGGTTTTGGTCAATGAAGGTGGGTTACCTGATCAATAAATAAACCCAACGAAAACTTCCTGGAAATTTCTGGTGAATTCAAAGTTGCTTTGTGTAGTCATTTGTCAATAATGATTGTTTAAACAAGTTTAGTTTGTTTGGTCTGATGGGTGGACGGCTATAAATAACCAATCAACTAAAAGTTATACGCCCCAGTCCATTTTTATAAGCTTCTTGGCCCTTTTTACAATAATTGTCAGATTTGAAGAAAATAATTGTCCTAACATAATTGTCATTTTTAATTTTTTTAATTATACTCTCTAATTGATATTTTGTACCATCATTACCAAATTACCATTTTTCACTTTGCATTATTATAATGAAAATCAATCAATAACTAATAAGAGTGAGCAAAACAAAAATCATATGAAAGATTTAGAAAGGAATCAATATAGGAAACTTAGCAGCGTTTAAAGGAGTTATTAAATAAATAAATGAATTTTGTAACTACTACTTGGAGAATAAAACTGCATATTGGGAAAAAATAGATAAAACTATTGTGTTTTTTCCTTAGCTTTAGCTTGATTTATATAGTGAAGATATAATTAGTATACTTGATTTTCTCCTAAATAGAGAATAAAGGAAAATAAAGAAAAATAAAAATAGTATTAAAGGAAATAATGAAATAAAAATATTTATCATGCCCAACTTGTCTATTAAATGCTCAAAAGTAGGTCCTGCCAAACTTTTGGTTAGGGTATCCACAATTTGCTGACTTGAAGTGTCGAAGGGTGGTCATGAAGTGTCGATCAATCTCAATATATTTGGTTTTGTAATGTTGAACTGGATTATGAGTTATGGTAATAGCAGCTTTTCCGTCAGAGTACAATTTCAATGGAAGCTAAATTTTCATCTTAAGTTCTTCTAGGATTCTAAGGATCCATAATCCTTCACAAATACTTTGAGACATAGCTCTAAACTCAGCTTCTGCACTACTCCTTGCTACAACTCCTTGTTTCTTCCTCCTCCACGTCACAAGATTACCCCAAACATAGGTACAATATCCAGAGGTTGATCTTCTATCTGTGACCGAACCTGCCCAATCAGCATCGGTGAAAATAGACACATTTCTTTCACTAGTCTTAAAAAATAATCCTTTTTCAAAATTTCCCTTCAAATATCTCAGTATCCTATAGACTGTCCCAAGATGTTGCTCAAAAGGAGAATGCATAAAGTGACGGAAAAAATTAGTTTGACAATTTATATCTTGGACTAATTTACTGACGGACATTAAATTACATGATAAATTTGGAACATGAAGGACAGTCTTAAAAGTTAACATACATATGAGACTGTTGAAATACAAGAGACTAAGAGACATTTGAATAAACCGTGTGTCTTGAAAAGCACTACGGTGAGACATTATTATATATAGATAGATTATAACTAATTACATGATATAGTCGATGTGGGACTATTCTATATACAAATATTCTTAACACTATATATATTTACAAATATCAACACTCCTCCTCAAGCTTGAGAATATAAGTCAAATGCACCAAGCTTGTTACATATATAATTAGTTCTAGGGCTTCGTAGGGATTTTGTAAACACATCTGCCAATTGATCATTAGAGTTGACAAAGCTTGTGACGATGTCGTCTGACTCGATCTTCTCTCTGACAAAGTGACAGTCTATCTCAATATGTTTTGTCCTCTCATGGAAGATTGGATTTGAAGCAATGTGCAATGCAGCTTGATTATCACAAATAAGTGTCATTGGTCTTACTTCTTCAATTTGAAGTTCCTTGAGTAACTGTTTTAACCAAATAAGTTCACATGTTGTCATTGCCATGACCCTATACTCTGCCTCGGCGCTTGATCTTGCAACTACATTTTGTTTCTTACTTTTCCAGGATATAAGGTTTCCTCCAACAAGTACACAATACCCAGAGGTGGATCGTCTATCAATGGGTGACCCTGCCCAATCAGCATCGGAGTATCCAATTATCTGGTTATGTCCTTTATCCTCATACACAAGACCTTTTCTTGGAGCACATTTGATGTATCTCAGAATCCGGATAACAACATCCATGTGTTCCTGACAAGGGGAATTTAAGAACTGACTTACCACACTGACTGCAAAAGAAATGTCCGGACGAGTGACTGTGAGATAATTCAACTTTCCAACCAATCTCCTATACCTTCCTGAGTCAGATAGAGGCTCCCCCTGATTGGGTAGTCGTTTAACACTTGGATCCATAGGAGTATCGGCTGGTTTAGCATTTAACAAACCTATTTCTTCCAAAATATCCATAGCATATTTCCGCTGAGAAATCACCAAACCATCTTTAGATTGGGCTACTTCAATACCCAAGAAATAGCGGAGTTTACCAAGATCTTTTGTCTGAAATTGTTTCGAGAGATGTTGTTTCAACTGGAGTATTCCCTACTGATCACTACCAGTTATGACAATGTCATCTACATACACTATAAGATAAATACACCCTTGGGGTGAGTGACGATAAAAAACAGAATGGTCAGCTTCACTACGGATCATACCAAACTGTTGTACTACAGTGCTGAATCTGTCAAACCAAGCTCTCGGAGATTGCTTAAGACCATAAAGAGACCTGTGTAGCCTACAAACCATATTCGATGACTCCCCCTGAGCAACAAACCCAAGTGGTTGCTCCATATATACTTCCTCTTCAAGATCACCATGTAAGAATGCATTTTTGATGTCAAGTTGATGAAGAGACCAATGTCGAATGGCTGCAATGGCTAGAAGAAGTCTAACAGATGCCATCTTGGCTACAGGCGAGAAGGTATCACTATAATCCAACCCAAAAATTTGAGTGTATCCTTTGGCTACCAAGCGAGCTTTAAATCGATCAATCTTGCCATCTGGACCAACCTTCACTGTATAAAGCCAACGACAACCTACTAAAGATTTCCATGGGGTAGAGGAACCAGTTCCCAGGTACCACTGCTTTGAAGAGCACACATTTCATCAATCATTGCTTGCCTCCACTCAGGGTGAGATAATGCTTCACCTGGAGTTTTAGGAATAGAAAAAGAAGACAAAGAAGACAAACAAGTATACTGCAAAGGGGAAAGACGATGATAACATAAATCAATATAATGCGGGGAAGAATTTCGTGTTTGACGTATACCTTTTCGAAGGGCAATCGAAGATCAGACTCAGGTTGCGGGATCGAATCCGGTGATGGCGAGAGCGTCGGAGGAGAGTCCGTAGTGACCTCAGGGACAGGTACGACTTCAGGGACAGATACGACTTCAGGGACAGGTACGACAGACTTTGGGTGACGACGCTGATATGTTTGAAGTGGGCGAGGAGTGGGGGGGGGGGGGGGGGGGGGGTCAACCGTAGGGGTATCGAGTGGGTCAGGTTCCCTAGAATGATGGGGGATAATGACAGATGGGACTTCCGGAAGAGGTGTGGGAATACTTTCTTGTAGAAGTTCCGTAGTTACTTGACTGGACTCGAAATATGGAACAGACACGAAGAAGGTAACATCGGTCGATACGAGGTATCGTTGTAGAGTATGTGAGTAGCAACGATAACCCTTTTGAGATCGATGATAGCCAAGAAAGACACACTTTAGTGATCGAGCTGATAGTTTATCAGGACCAGGAGAGAGATTGTGTACAAAACACGTAGATCCGAAGACTCGAGGAGGAATTGGGTGGAGTGGAGAGTTTGGAAACAAGATTGAATGGGGGATTTTATTATTAGGACAGATGAGGGCATGCGATTTATGAGGTAACATGTCGTGAGCACTGCATCTCCCCAAAACCAGAGAGGAACATTACCATGGAGAAGTAGGGTCCGAGTGGTTTCTACGAGGTGCCGATTTTTGCGTTCGGCTACCCCGTTTTGTTGGGGTGTATGAGGGCAAGATGTTTGGTGCAAAATATCATTTGATGACATAAATGTTTGAAATTGTTGGGATAAATATTCACGTGCATTGTCACTTCTTAAGGTACGAATAGACAAACCAAATTGAGTTTTTATTTCTCGATAAAATTGTTCAAAAATGGAAAACAATTCAGATCTATTCTTCATTAAAAATAACCACGTGCAACGCGAAAAATCATCAATAAAGGTGACAAAATACCTAGACTCAAGAGTAGAGACAGTACGCGAGGGACCCCAAACATCAGTGCGAACTAAAGCAAAAGGGGACGAAGTTCGTTTGTTGACTCGACTGGGAAATTGACTACGAGTGTGTTTTCCTAACTGGCACGACTCACAATGTAAATTAGATACCTTCGATAAATTTGGCACCAACTTATGTAATTTGGAAAGACTGGGATGACCTAACTGAGCATGGATAGTGAGTGGAGAATCTTTGGTTAAGCATGTCTGAGATGACAATGAAAGGTAGTAAAGGCCTTGAGACTCATATCCGACACCAATCGTCTTTCCCGAACTCCGATCCTGCAGGATAGCATTATTGTTAGTGAAGGTGATACTACAATCAAGAGAACGAGTTAAACGACTGACTGAAAGTAAATTAAATGGACAATTAGGTACATAGAGGACAAAAGTAACAGATAGAGAAGGTAGAATTTGAACAGTACCAATCCCTTCGGATCGGGTTTGAGAACCATTGGCAAAAGTTATAGTAGGTAAGAAACCAGAGGTAGAGAGGGAAGAAAACAAATTTTTATTACCAGTAACATGATGAGACGCACCAGAATCAAGGACCCAAGGTTGAAGTGGAGATGATTGAGAGAGGCAAACAGATAAATTACCGGTGTGTGCTACCATAGCAGTAGAATCTGAGTTCTAATAATTTTGATACCACCTGAGAAAATCATCGTAGTTTGGCGTAAAGTTTTGAGGAGTAGCCATGAGTATTTGAAGAGAGAAAATATCACGCGATCGGTCGCCGGACGTGCTGTCACGTGCGATTCAAGTGGCGGCGCTTAATGCCCACGTGCGGAGACGAAGGTGGCGCGTGTGGGCGCGTGCAGAGGTTTCTGCCGATGAAAAAGTTTGCCGGAAGGTCGTCGAGAATAGTAGCGACGGCGGCGGCTATGCGGTTATGACCGGAGAATGTTGAAAATTGATGGTGGGATCGGCTTTCCGAAATGTCGCCGGAAGTTTTGCCAAAACAGTAACGGCGGCGGGGTGGTCACCGGAGAATTTTGAAAAGTGAGGCAAACCGGAGTGACAACACGGTTTGCAAAAAAAAATTTTTTTTTTAAATTTCTCACCAGAAGACAGTGGGTCAACCGAGTAAAGCACGGCGAAGAAAGAATTGCCTCTTAGCAGGCTCTAGATACCATGTTGAAATACAAGAGACTAAGAGACATTTGAATAAACCGTGTGTCTTGAAAAGCACTACGGTGAGACATTATTATATATAGATAGATTATAACTAATTACATGATATAGTCGATGTGAGACTATTCTATATACAAATATTCTTAACACTATATATATTTACAAATATCAACAGAGACAATACAACTGATCCTTTACCTGTAATGGCTGAAAAAGAGTCATCTGCATTTTTTATTTTATGATTACCTACCTGCACATGGACTATATATGAACAGAACAAAGTAGATTCACTTGTCATGTGATTAGAGGCACCTGAATCTACTATCCAAGTATGATTGGGACTGACACTAAGAAATACAGAATTACCTTTTGTTGCTATAGAGCAAGAAGGGGCTGCAGACTCGAGGAGTTTGTATAGTCTGTCTAGTTGTTCTGTAGTGAGTGAAAGCTGAGTTGGAATTGCTGTCCTTGACCAGAATTACTGGGCTAAAATGTACGACCACCTTTGTTCTTCCAGTTAGGAGGTTTGCCTTTGAACTTCCTACAAGTTTCACGTGTATGCCATTCGCGCTTGCTGTGATCACACCAAGGAACTTTGCTTACCTTTTTCCCTCGTCAAGGTTCCTAGTAGACAGAGCTGAGCATTCAGATTCAGAGCTTCGTAGTATCTTACCCATCATAATTCCTTGTAGTGCCTCATCCCTTCTTATTTCTGCAAAAGTTTCACGAAGAGTTGGCAATGGTATTTTTCCTAAAACTCTACCTCTTATCTCATCAAGATCTTTATTGAGCCCAGCGAGAAACATAAATACATGATCATTTTCTTACCTCTTAAGAAACAAAACACTGTATTCTGTACACCTCTAATTGTCATCATAACAGAGATCCAACTCTTGCCACAGTGTCAACAACTCATTGTAATAAGCAGTTACACTCTTGTCACCTTGTTTCGCATGCCATAACTTTGATTTTAAACTAAAAATTTGAGAGGAGTTTTGAATGTCAAAGTATGTTTCCTTAACAGCTTCTGACACATCCTTTGCGGAAGGTAAAAACATGTAAGGCTTACCTATTCTAATTACCATAGAGCTTACCAGCCACGCAATAATCAAGGAGTTTTCAGACTTCCATTGTTTGTAACGAGGGTCTCCTGTTGTCGGTTCAGCTACTGCTCCTGTTAAGAAAACAAGTTTCCCTTTGCTATCCAATACCAACCGAATGGTTTGGCCCATTCACTATAGTTATTCCCATTCATTTTAGGGATATTGACCTTGAGGGAGTATGAGGAACCCTTTTGATCATTACCGTCTATGTTGAAATAACTGGCACCAAAAATAATGTTAGTTCCTGTTTCCATTGTTGTCGTCATTACTGCCAAAAACAATGTTGTTACTGTTTTCATTGTTGCCATTACTATCACTGTTTGTGACCACTGACGATTCCTTTCGTACGCCATCTCCGGGACCACCACTGTTTCAGCGGCAGACCCCCTTCTCAGGTTGCAGTTGTTCGCCATGGTTGGATCCGGGTGTAGGCCTGTCATGGGGAATGCTACCTGTTGTTATTCGCCATATGAGGCTAAACGAGTATGTGAAGCGGGTCGAACAGAATTTTTTTTATAGAAAGCTTTGCAATAACCCCTAAGCGGGTCGAACAGAATTTTTTTTATAGAAAGCTTTGCAATAACCCCTAACCCAACGCTCTAATACCATATAAGATAAAATAGGTAAAAGTTGTTCTGTTTTATTTATCAACTTACACATGATTTTTTTCTTTTTTTCTTAATAGAGAATAAAGAAAAATTTTAAAAAATAAAAATAATATTAAAAGAAATAATAAAATCGGAAATAAAATACCGGATGAAGGAGTCCGTTTCTGTAATTGGAGTAGTTGGCGTATTGCAAAGCTTTTCGTTGCATGTGAAATTGAACTCCATAGTCCTCCATCTCGCCCACTTAATGGTTTCCTCCGCTTCCTGTCAATAAATGAAACACAAAATCCGGTTTTCTTTACTACTACCTAGTCGGGGTACTACCACAACCCAGTCCAGTGACCCTTCAATGTAGTAGGATATTTGCAGCTTGTACTGGTTTTAGGATTCCCAAATTGTGAGGAAATCAAAAACCAAATGGGGAAAACATCATTAATCCATATAGGAAATAAGCATTACTGTCAACTAAATGTTTTTTTAGCATAATAAAATAGAAAGAAAGAAAAAATGATAATGTTGTAAACATTTTAAAAGATAAGTTATATAAACTGAAAAAAGGTAAGATAAAGGACTCCGGGATGGTATTTGGCCTAGTTAATAATAACTTTTTCTTCACTAATTTAAAAAATAAATATCTGATTTTTCAAACTCTTGATAAGATGTGAAAGACCCTCTGATAACCAGAAGCAATACGTTGCATACAATTACATGAAAAATCTTCCATTGAATAAGCAAGATTATCATCATATCATATCAGCATTTGTTTTATTTTATACATTGTATTTCTTGATATCAGACCCCTTTCCACCACATGATCCCAGAACATCTGTGAAACTTTGTTTTCACCAGCATCAGGAGCACTAAAGCATCTATAGATTTCGGCAGTGATCATCAACCTCCTCCTAGCCATTTCTTCTAACACATTTGAGGCAGCATTTGTGTTCCCTGATTTCCAATAAGCAAAAGCAACACTGGTGTAGATAACACTATCGCCTGAAATACCCTTCCCTTCCATATGAACTAACAACTTTTCAGCACATTCAATCCTTTCTATCTTGCTTAACCTTCTTATCAATGCCCTGTAAACAGAAACATCAAGACAAATACCTTTACTCAGAAACTCATCCGGCAGTGCTAGAACTGCATCTGTATTGTTTTTCTTACAATAGCCATCTACAATCCATGAGTAAGTGCAATAGCTTGGAGAAAATCCAGCATCAAGCATGCCAAACAATAGTTCTTTGGCACTTTCAAGCTCGCTCGTTTTACAGAACCCGTAAATCAGTGCTTTATATGTAAAGGGATCAGGCTTCAGTCCAGCTTCTAACATCTTATTTTTAACTTTCAAAGCAGAACTCAAATCTCCTATCTTGCAATATGCATTAATCAGTGTGTTGCATGTGATATTGTCAGCTTGAATCTTTTTTTCACTCATCTCATTCAAGAGTTTGTTTGCATCCCTTATCCTGCCATCCGAACACAGCTTGCGCAAAATCGAATTATAAGTAACAACACCAGGGTACAATCCCTTAGCCTCCATCATCTCACGCAATCTCAGAGCTTGCTCCAGTTCATTTGTTTTACAATAACCATCAATCAATGTAGTATATGTGACAAGATTGGGAGTGGCACTTTTGATTTCTCCGAACATCCTCATAGCTTCCCTCATCTTACCTTCTTTGCAAAATCCATAAATAAGAGAATTGTAACTAACAATATCAAGGTTTATCCCCTCTCTTTCCATTTTATCCTGCACCGACAAAGCCTCATAGTGCATCCCCTTTTTGCAATACAAAGCTATCAAAGTATTGTATGTGAAAATATCAGGAACCACACACTTTCCTTCCATCTCATTCAGTATAAGTTCCGCCCTCTCCACATCTCTCGATTTCAAACAAGCGTGAATTAAACAATTATAAATATAGATATTAGGAACAACCCCATCTTGAACCATTCTCTTATAAACCTTCCACGCCATATTAGTAACACCATCTTTCAACAAAGAGTTCAAAAGCGCAGTACAAGCATGCAAATGCGGCTTTAAATTACACAAACTCATCTGCTCAAAAACCTGAACCGCATCATGGGTCATCTTCGATTTCGCATAATGTATCACAATCCAACTCAAAACATGTGAATTAACTTCAGGGTCATCATGAATTCTCACCAAAGAGGTCAAAACTGAAGGCGAGGAAAGTATTTCCTTTTGCGCAATTTTATCAAGCATCTGGTGTGCAGTTTTGAAATGTCTGTGTTTGGTGAGTATGTGAAGCATGGACCATGAAGATTGTAAGGAATGAGTGTAGTGTGGGATGGAATGAAGCCATTTGAAGAATGAGAAGATGAAAAAAGGTTCGTAACGGTGTTGCGTGAGGTGCAAGATACATTGGTGAATGGTGGTGGAAGTGAGAGTGGAAGCGATTTTGGGTTTTAAGAGATTGTTCCAATAACCCTTTACAACAATTGCACAGATACTATCAACCAAAGCCATGGCTCTCACTGTGATTTGATATCGATAAAGTGATTATGAATCTGTCAATCGGTTATGGAATCGAACTCCATGAACCTTCCTCTGAATGGGTTCTTTTCGGTTCAACGAAACACGAACCGTTAAGTTGAATGGTTGAACGGGTTGCAATGAACCAAACTCGGTTTACATGCTTCTTCAGTTCACTACTATCTCGAGGTGGAGCATTTTAAATCTGCAATCACATATTTTCATAAATTTCAAACTCTTTATGGATAAATTTAACTCAAAAATTCAAACGAAATTTTTATTCAAAATTTTCAATAAGAGACCAAATTTATGGTAGTTTATTTTTATATTGTGGATAAAAAAATTTGGTGAATATTCTGGTACCTTTAAAATTAATTGGGTAACATACTTTCAATTAATTAAACATTCTCATTCAATGATATATTATTTTATTTTATTTTTAAAAAAAATTAAATTTTTTTTTACAATTTATACTTACCGGTATTCAGCTTAAATGCATGGGTACCAAAGAATTTGCTAAAAAATATATCAGTTTTTTTAAAAGTATTGTGGATTATCAGAAATTTCGATAAATACTATAGTATATTGAAAATTTCCAAAAGTGTGATAGTTTAATATGAAAAAAATTCAAAATTTTTAGATTTTTTTCCTCAGAAATTTCGATATTTTATCAATTTTTTTTTCCAAAGATTGTTGATTTTTTTATCAAAAATTCTGATATTTTTATAAATAAAAAAAATCGGTATTTTTTTTGAAAATTCCAGTAAACACAATAGAAAATTCCCAAAAAAAAATAGTAAAGACATAAAGGTAATAGCAACCACAATGTGGGGGTGTCAAGTTTAATTGAGAGGGTGACAAGTTAAATACTTCTCGAGGTGTTCGCGGTGCGGTTTAGGCAGTTTTGACGTTAAAAGTCATCTAAACCGCAGGAGAAAAAAATGTGTGGTTCGGTTTGGTTACATTGATTTTTAAAAATAAAACCAAACGAAACAAAATCAAACCAATGCAGTTTGATTTTTCACAATTTTTTTTTTATTAGAACAACATAACTTTGTGTTCAATCATTTGTACATTATCAATAACATTAAAATTTATCATATTTAGACAACAATTTTCCATTTAATATATAAAAATCAAATTAGACAAAATTGGAATAAAAACATAAAATCAAACTATCTACCTAAGAAAACTAAATACCTTCATCATCCCTTAATTGCCCTTTTTAAATTTCAAAATTACCCATAACTTTGGTTATATCGGTAATTAAGTATATATGTACTCTACCTTTATCACTTATCACTAGTCAATTGAATCATCTTATTTATTCAATTTAAACAACTCGTTCATTTCCCTCGCTTTCCTTTCTCCCTTGTAGTCTGCGTACGGTTTCAGTCAAGACACCCTTTCTCACCACCAACCGTCTGCTTCAGAAACCCTATCAGTGCCGCTCGAGAGAAGTTATGTCGGAGAGGGAGATATCACCGACTGCAATAGCTATTCAGGTTTGACGTTTTACACATGATGATATTGTTTTCTCTATTCTATCCATATGAAAATCATGGTCCCATCTCTTTCCCTTATTTTCCTCTCACATTTCTTCCTATTTCTTCTCCTACAGTTATAATACACCATTGTCTGCAACAAGTATTGAAGCCTCATATCTTTCTTTTGTTGATTTGGTTACATTCGTACACATATTCCAATTTTATGGTTTTTTTTTATGTTCGTTAGAAATATTCAAATGTGCTTAGTTCTGGTATTTTCACTTTAAGATACTTCTGTGGCTTTTTCGATTCTTTTGGTTTTGTGATTTCGGTTTCCCTTGATTACTTTTATCCAAGTTCATGTGGTTTTTTTGGCTTTTAAAGCAATTTTGATTTCTTTATAATGAAAGGCTTCGACTCTTCTAATTCTTGTGATTTCAGTTTCAAATATTTTGTTTGCTTTAAAAGTTAAGTTTATTTCTATGTAATAGCTTTTTGGGTTAAAGTTGTTCGTTTGATTTCAGTTTCTGATACTTCTCTCCTTGCTTAAAACCTATCTAAGTGACTTGGCATGTGATTTCAGTTTCTGATACTTTGGTTCTTCTGGTTTTTGTTTCATGACTTTCGTAACTCATTATTAGCTTCTTCGTATGCCAATAAGGCTCACTCTATCTAATTACATTATAAGTTACTTAATAACTTAGTGAAGTTAATTTGGAGTTATTTCAACCATTACATGAACACTCAATTTGCAATTTATTGAATATTTCATTATATTGTTGATTACATTGTTCACTTCACTTTACATAATTTTAAAATTATATGTTTTTCCTTCTAACCATGAAGACTAAATCTGCAATTTACTTAATTTTCCAAACCAGACTAAAACTAATTATAAGCATCCATGATTAACCAATCTTTTTACAACAGATGCATCTAAGCATAAAACTAATATTACTCATTTAATTGATTGTTCTTTTTACCAAATGTAACTTGAACGTATTACAAAATTATATCACAAACTATCAACTAATAATCCACTTTGATTGTTACACAGTTGAACATTGTTTAACCTCGTGCATTTTTTTCAAATATAAATGTACCTCTTCCGAATACACATTCTTGAGATAATGTTGTTTTCAATTTTTATGGCACATATTTTGTTACTACTTCTATTTTTTGTAATTACTATGTTGCTATGAAGATATTGCTTAGAGTGAGAAATGAAATAGTGCCCTCTAACCAATATTACTTGTGTTCAACAATTGTGCATCTTGAAGACTATGAAAATGGAAAACATGACAAAGTTAAAGAGGAATTTGATTACAAAATCTTATCAAGAAGGTTAGACATAGAATGAGATAAACTCATTATGAAACATGAAAGACAACATAAGGAATTTGAGGATGAAATTGAAAGGTTAGTAATAGAAACACAACATCGGATATATGAGGCTGAAAGAAATTATGTAAACTCAATGGAGGTTAGTTCTCTATCCGCTTTTTTGTATCTTTCATTTGTGCTTTAGTTTATGAGATGATCTAGAATTTTGAACAAAACTATTATTAGAAAATATTGTGTCAAACCTATCTTTCAATTATGTTAGATATATATTTCACAACTATTACTATATTTCATTTCTCAAATTATACATATTTTGGATCAGAGGTCTTATAACACCATGAATTAGAATTACCTCAATCTTGATCCACTTTCCTTAACCATTTTTGTGAAGGGAACTATCCTTGTGAGGTAGTACCAAGATTCTAGGTACATTGGACTACTCTTGCTCTAAAACTCATGCCCCTGCTCCTGAAAGAGTAAGAAAAAATAATGAGTCAATATTTGATGGTAACTCAAAGATATAACAATAGTAGTGATCTCAATTTTCTGATTTTTCCCGCTAATATTATTTTGTTCATATGTTCTTTTAGCTTGTCTTTGGGTTGATTGTGAAGGTAGCTCGTGCAAGATGGCATTGACCTTCAATTATAGATGCGAATGCGAAGAAACCTATAAAAATCTCATCAATGTTACTATTTTTCATTGCTTTAGACAATGTAAGATTATATGCATCACTATTAAAATTAAACCATAAAATAATTATTTTTATGATTGATTATGATGTAAAGATATATGATATGTGTTTGATCACATTGAATGTTAAAGTATTAGAAACTCGATAACTTGATATTCTTTTTAATTTGTATTGAATGTGTTCTTGGCACAATTGCTCTGGCCTTGGAATATCACTGACAGTTTCATCATCAATTTCTTCTCGACCACCTGTACTAAACAAGGACAATAGGAGTGAGGATAAGGTCACCACTCTAAGTTATATGGCTAATTCAACATGGGTAAGTGAATTTATATCTTAGATAATCATATATATATATATATATATATATATATATATATATATATATATATATATATATATATATATATATATATATATATATATATATATATATATATATATATATATATATATATATATATATATATATATATATATATATATATATATATATATATATATATATATATATATATATATATATATATATATATATATATATATATATATATATATATATATATATATATATATATATATATATATATATATATATATATATATATATATATATATATATATATATATATATATATATATATATATATATATATATATATATATATATATATATATATATATATATATATATATATATATATATATATATATATATATATAAACATAGATTTCTATAAACAAAAAGAAAACTCTAATCATTTTCACCTCTTTATCCATCACAAAATCAATAAATAAATTTACAGTGAATAAATAAGCTAAGGCAAAAAAAGAGAGATAAAATAGCAACAATGTTTCCAATTATTATGTTAGATAATATATTGGTTATTTTTTAAGGATTTTTGTTTCTATATTTGTATCTTAAAGTTGGTTGTTAATATGAATGATGATTAAGGATTAGTCCATGAGTTGTGGAACTAAATTGGATTGATTGATTCATGTAATTATAAAAAAATTCTTACATATGGATTTGTCTATTTATCCCAATTTGAGATTAAATTTGAATTTTATGTGTAGTAATGTCGATTAAGTTTTTTTTTCCAATTGTTATGGTCAAGTATTGTGTTCCTATTTCTATTATTTAAAAATATCATGTTGTTCATTTGACTACTGTCATGCATACTCACAGAAAGTCATTATAGCTAGGAAATAAAATTAGTCAAAGGACGATTGCACAATGCTTGCAACTGTCCTTGTTGTCATATCCTTCTATAGAAAGTAGCTCATGTTGTGTGTAAGCATATCTCATACAATTTGCACAATTCGTTTACAACTTATATAATCAAATTTTTAAGCATATCTCGTATAAATTTACATTTAAAGTTCTTTGCATTAATAAAGTTGATGTCAACATAACTATGACACAATATTGGTTGATCTCCCTGCTAAATTTGACATCCTATATATCA